CTACCGATACAGTAATTTTTACTCTGCCGGCACGGTAATTTTTATTTTTATCAGGATAAAATTTCTCTAACGTAGAATAAAATTTGATCATCATATATTAATTTTTACTAAATTTCGGGATAGAAATGAGGAAACGATGACTCATGATGCACTTTTATAAAGCGGTAGGATGATTTTCATTAAAAATTTCTCTTCGTATACATCATTGGCAATTTTTGCATATTTTTTATTGTAAGACACTATTCTAACAAGCGGTTGACAGCTACTAAATCCTTCCATCTATTCTATCAGTGTAGTTTCTCCGAAATTGTAAACAAAACCGGTAACTGCTGTTTGTCTCGCTGTTGAATACGCTTGTGTTGATAGATACTCCATCGAGCACAACCTGGATTTATGTATGATCTGCCAAAATATCCACATACAACCAATACATATTTTCCTGCTAGCCGACGGAAACTCGGATGTTGTAATGAAGCTATCGAGTGAACGCTGGTCATAAAACGCACTTTAGTTTGTAGCTGGATCAATACTAGACACTGTTATTCCAATTTAACTGTTAAAGTTGCACATTTACAAAGAGACAGGGGGTGAACTACAGACATGTCGACTGGTTTATGTCCCCTGTTATTACCTCCACAAACTCTGGGAATTTAAACGCAAATTAGTTGTGAAACAATTCCAACTGCAATTATAAATCCTGAATTGTTGAATCGTTGCGAGACTCGATATGTCTGAGAATACGTTGGATATGTGTTACGATTATTGGATGAAGGTTCAGCAGAATCATAATATCGGATTAAAATTGTTTCGTTATATACAAAATTAGATGTGCGCAAAGTTCAGAGGTTGTGCGATTTTGACTGTTGGCCAGTTTTCAGTGAATATCTCGAAATCTTTGGGAGATGAACATTTTTTTGACAGCATACTTAGTATTTTTTTTGTCATTCCGGCCGTAAGGCAGCGATTCACGGACACGCAGCCATTCCTACGGCTATGGCAAAAAATATTGTTCGTCACACGGGCAAAATATACTATTTTTGTATTTAAGTGCTCAGTCGAAGGTATTCTTTAATAAATATGCAATTATCTCGAAAACTAGAAAATTTATAGAGCAATCTTACGAGCATTTTTTGTAGATATAAGAAATCTGTATAAAAAGGAATGAAATTATCCCCCAGAATCCCTCATTGTCAAGATAATTTATAACAAATGACAATTATGTCTTAATTGGCGGAGAATGGGGTAAAAATTTAAATGTGAATATCTCCTAACTAAATAATGCAATTTTGGTAAGTTGAATCTCATTTTGAAGTTTGGAAAAATATCTTGACAACGAGAGAAAAATCTTGAAATTTCACTCAGCCGTTCTCGAGTTATTAGCGATTAAAAATGTTTAATTCTCTCCATTAATTTTATTGAACCAATAATTTCCCCACCTTCTCGTCACATTATCTTCTTGTTTTTCCGAACATTCACTCTTAATTTTTTTATATATTTTTTTGAAAACTTTTATTTTTCATTGTTTTTCTTGCGACGTTTGATTTCTCTTCGGTATTTTTTTCTTTTCGGATTTTTTTTAGCAAATTTTTACTTTCCTTTTTTTTATTTTATTGCCTTCTTCTCCATTGAAAGCCTCGCTTTTGACATGTTCGTGACAAAAAATAATATTTGTCGTTACGAAACATTGACGATCATTTGATTGAACAAACAATAAAATTCACAAATTAAGAATGAATTGTTCAACAGTCCATTGAGAATTGAAATTATTTTCCAACTTCAATAAAAATTAGTGAACTTTAATTAATTCCAGGTAAACTACTTTTAATATTACTAAATAAAAGATTATTGCCGATCCGTGTATTGGATATATGTATCAAGAGGATCAGTATCTAGTGTGAACAGACGGGGGAGATTTGATAGTGGACTGGGAGGCTGAGATTAAACGATCAACTGGACAATGAGGGATTGAGAGGAGCCCAGGGAGCAAACGGGGAAGTTTCGAGGCACAGGCTGTATTTGCCAGTGGCTGTAGTGAGAAAGTCAGTGGGATAAAAAGGCAGTGTATACCCCCGAGTGGTTCTCCTCCTCTTACTTTTTTTTTCACCACGAGGGAATCATGATACTCCGAGTAACAGTCAAAGTTCTGGGTAGGCAAAAAGGGGAAAAATAGAATTCACAACAACTGAGAATTTCAATTTCCTCTTTTTACTCGAGTCTTTCTGTTGTACTTAAGTATCCTGAAAGCCTAACATGGGGCTCGCGGGAGGATGGGGGAGGGGAATTCGAGTATTGAGATGGACATGGAGTTTGTAGTGAGGCTGCTTTGAATGATTCATTGGATACTCGATATTTCAACTTGCATCGATACTTTGGGGAAATGGGTGGATGTGTTGGAGGAGCTGAAGTCTGTTGGTTCAAAGTACCACTCGTTGATTTCACGTTGAATAATGCTGGATATTTTACGGGGAAATGGAGAGGTGAATTTGGGGAGAGAAACGGGGGTTCAGTGATGTCTGATCGATTGGAAAGACAATATTTTAGATATTTAATTGATTCGATATTGTGATACACGGAGAGAAGAGTTGGATAAAAATTGCTTCGAAAATTGTGATGAAGTTTACTATACGAATGGTGGAGCGAAATGTGGAGCGAAATTCAGTGAAAAAATACTGGTTTTTAGTGGATACATTGTTAAAAAATTGGCTGAATTTTACGAAAATAGAACTTGAATTTGATTTAAGGATGTTCGACACCCTTTTAGCCAAAATTGACGTTGTTTTCATTTTTCTGGCAAATTATCGATGGGAGTGACGTGAAAAAATATAACGATTTTGTGGTTTGTCATTCTTTAATGGCTCACGAAGTTGCGTAGTGGTGCGATAATTTTCATGCGTTTTTTCTACAGTTTTGTGATTCTTTTTAAAAGTTTAGAGAAAACGCAGGAAAATGTTCGCACCACCTTAAAATTTCGTCAGTCATTAAATAATGACAAAACGCAAAAACGTTATATTTTTTCACGTCAATTCCATTATAAGTTTGCCAGAAAAATTGAAAAAACGTGAATTTTGGCAGAAAGGGTGTAGAACATCCTTAAGGGGAAAAAGTCAATGGAATTTCAAGTTTCTCTGAAAATTCAAGTAAAGTTCCAATTTTTTTAGCGACAGGAAGACGGAAATTCCACAATTTACGTGAATTTTCAAGTGAAAATGTATGGTTACGGCCAAATGTCATGGAATTTTCAGGACATTGTTTTGAAATTCTTGGAATTCCAGGAATTTCAGCTTAATTACAATAATTAAGCTGAAATTCACAGTTCCCACGGATTTTTCCATGAAATTATGAGTTCTCAATGACAAAATTCCTTGAAATTTCAGTGGACATGTTATTTGTTAGAAATTTCCAGACCCTTCCGGGAAATTTCAGTGGAAAATTTTTAACAGTGTATCTTACGATTTTCTCGGTGAAAAATACATCTATGGAGGCAAAAATTATCCTTCTGTTTAGTAAAATTTCTCACACCGGCAGAGGATTATTTGTTCTATACCCGTCTGGAGGTCATGGGGACGGACGCAAGTGAATTTTTATCAAATGGGTTCGGTAAAAATCATTCTCCATCACAGAAAAATTATACGAAAAATTGGGGCAATTATTGGCCTTTACGGGGATAATTTTTGATGGGATACAGGGTAAATTTGACAGTTTCGGTACAAATCACCCGCACGTTTAGTAAATTCACTATTAACCTTGCCCTTTTTCTCCTATTTAAGGTGAAAAAGTCCTGGAAATCGAGGTTGCTCCACGATTATTTGACTTGTTTGGTAATTTTTCTTCAATTTTGTTCTCCGTGTACAAGGCATATATACACTATTAAAAATTATGAATTTTCAATGATAAAATACTTTGAAATTTCAGTGGACATGTTACTTGTTAGAAATTGAGAAGACCCTTAATCGGAAATTCAGTGGAAAATTTTCAACAGTGTAGGAAAAATTACCCCGACGCGAACCGGAAACACGTAGTGAAATACGTTTTTGGGCACTTTTTATCCTGGCAACAGCTATAAAATACGGGATAGCAGATGAATTTTCCACTTTTATTTCGGGAAATACATCGCACTGTATGTGTAATTTCACCCATTGAATTGGGTCCATCGAATCCATCATGTGTCGAATCAATAATTTTCCGATCAATTCCCTTATATGTAGACGGGGATAGTCATATTCATAAACCCTAATTACCGTTAAATTTTACAGCCGTCAATTAGTTAACATCACTCCTAAGCTTTCAATTATTCAAGTAAATATCAATTTAAATACTCAAATTTTGAACTATTTTATTAATCAATAATTTACGTAAGAAGGTTGACGATTATTTGGTTAATCGATAATTTCTTTTAAGAAATTAGAAATATTCACTTAATGGAGAATTTACAGTTCTATATTATCGAATATTAACTTCATCATCAATCGGAAATTTGAACTATTAATATTATATTATTTTTAAATTTTAATGAGTATATTTAAACATTTATCAATGTAAGTCGTAAATCCTTTTAATATTGAAGAACTATAATATTGATGGCCATCCCTCTATGAAGACCAGTTTTTGGAAGCGTACACGGAGAGGAATTTTCTAGAAAACTTCTAGTACGAGTACTGGAAAAAATCACAATCCACGAGCTGTGAAAAATTCCAGTGCTGTTAAGGTAAAATTTCTTGGTATTTCTGGTAAAATTTTCACAGAAATACGAGCAAAAATTCACGTTTTCCCTATTAAAATTTCTCGTGCCAGTACTGGAATTTTTTCCTGGTCGTCACTTTGCTCTTCTCCCGTGCTAGCACTAGAATTCTTCTAAAAAATTTCTCCCCATGTATCAGGGCGGCTCTACGGAGGTCATGAATCGTGCAGAAATCATGCAATTATTACAGTAACTTCCTCCCTTTGAGTCAAGAAGTTGAAAAAGAAAACAAACTTTTCAATATTTGAGCAGTTGTATTTACCTGTACTTCTAAGGCATGGTAAGCAAATATGAGGCCAAGCAGTATCACAGTAGACATAGATATCAGGGTTTTCAGTGCAGTCGAGTAGAACGAGGCCTGTAACACAAACATTGTTATCATAAGTACCTGCACATCGTGCTACACCGTATGATTAATGACATTGTATAATATATGGTTAGCATTGGTGAACATGATCAGCATCACTTCCCTCGGGGTTTCGGCAGTGGCATTAGAATAAGAAATAAGGACGGAATAAGAAATACAAGTTGGGTAAGGGCAAGGCTAGTGTTGACAATTGAATTTGCCCCGGAGGCTCTCATGTGTCTGTACACATCGTCCTGTACAATTGACATGATAAGGGAATCTCCGTTGAAATTGCATCTCATTCCTCCGAATATTGAGGGACAATGCTGTTACTGGTACGTAAGTTTGATGTATCCAGAAATGAGGGTATACGCAAGATTCAGTCTGAGTTGCCACGACGACTGTGAGAAATCTGTTGAGTGCGCAGGTCCTCTTCGACCAGGCAGCGTTGGTCACGCCCTTTGGAAATTGATAATAAAGACTCAACAGATATGGCACGCGTAATTTATGCATCTTATTTATATTTTCGGAGAAACTACAGGGACAAGTTCATTAGCGGAAAATGTCCGGAATTGATCGAACGAAGTGGGTTTTTTCTTTTCAGCCAGTGAGGTTTTTATCACTTGCGGAGGAGACCGCTGGAGGCAAGAGGGTCATATCCAGGGATATTCATCAATGTTGATCGAGCACTAGGACGCGCCTGTTCGACTAACCGTGACAAGAGTAATTGGACCCAGTGAAGTATCTGGGACAAAATAGCTTGGGTATAAAAAGTCAAATTAAACACGAGTGGAATTACCACTTCTACCTACGTGCGTCTAACACTCCGGTTACATCACTAATTGAGCGAGACTAATTTGATAATTGTGAGGGGAAACGTGGAAGAGGGATCTGATTTTGAACCTGTTTTTGCGTGAATGGTGGGTGCAGAAAATTGATTAAGGATGTTTATGCAAAACCTCAAGAGCGTTTTAAATCATTGATTTTTTCGGCATTTAGTAGGCAGAGTTAATCTTAAATATTATTTTTTAGGCACTCGGAAAAAGATACCTGAATTGAGTATAAAATATATTCGGATCAAGTTTATTTTATACTCAATTGGGGTATTTCAATGCGCAGATGATTCTTTTGTATCAGGCCGAGTGGTAGCAAGACCTCTTAAGGGGAGACTACTATGAGTTTTAAAAGTCGTGGGTTATTGGAGTGAGAGTTTTCATACGTTGAAGATCGATTATATAGACCTGAAAACGAATGATTAGTGCAAAAAAAAATTTTTTTTGATTGTTCGTTTGCCCGAAAACGCTTAAAATGCCGAAAACAGTCCAGGGCCTCCAATTTTTGAGCTACGAAGGATTTTTTTTTTCAAAATTTTCGGAAAAATATGTGGAATAACAATTACGAGCTAGTTTTTTTCAAATTTGCCTCTTACATGGCTAAATTTACTTTTTTGTATTTTTTTACACAAATAGTGAATTTATTTATATGAAAAAAAAACAAAATCAGCTGTGTAGGAGTCGAATTCCAAAAAAACTGGCTCGTAATTCTTGTTCCACACATTTTTCCGAAAATTTTGAAAAAAAAAAATCTTTTGTAGCTCAAAAATTGGAGGCCTTGAACTGTTTTTAGCATTTTAAGCGTTTTCGGGCAAACGAACAATAAAAATTTGTTTTGCACTAATTATTCGATGTGAGATCTACATAATCGATCTTCAACGTATGAAAAGTCTCATTCCAATAACCCACGACTTTTAAAAAACGCATAGTAATCTCCCCTTAAGGGTAATATAAGGGTCAGGCACTAAGTGTAAGAATATGAGGGTCAAAAAGTGGAGGTTAAAATTGAGGGTGAGAATATTGGGGTCAAAACATTAAGAGCAGAATGTAAAAGTACAAAAAGTGGGTGTCAGGGAATAAGGGTCTAAATATAAGTCATATATTATGCTTGATCATCGTTTTTAGCCCTTATATGACCCTCATTGCCTGACACCCACATTTTTACTTTTATATTCTGATCCTAATTTTTTTATCCTAATATTCTGACCCTCTTTTTTTAAGCCTAACACTCTGCCCCTCGTTCCTTCAGCTGTCCATTCAGGCCCTCACTTTTTGACTCTAATATTTCGCCTCTCATTTTTTAACCTCCACTTTTTCACCTTTATATTCACGCACTGTCTGACCTTTATATTACACTTCAAAGCTCTTGGTAGAACCGCGGCTGATACAAAATAATCATCCTCGAATTGAAACACCTATCTCCCATTCGAGTATAAAATATACTTGAATCAAGCTCCAATGTCAAACCCCGGTCTGGACCATCTATTTTTTCAGTAAAAATTTTCGGGTTATTCATATTGAGAATAATCCCGGTTCCCCTCCTACCTCATCCAAAGCCCATTTAATCATTTCCTATGACGTCACAAAGATGTAGAACGCTATATGAATTCCTTTCTTTAATGTTAAATCAAGTAGATTATTTACTCGAATCAAGAATAATATACTTGAAGCAAGTATATTTTATTCTTGAATCAGGTTTATGTATGTACTTGATTGGGATGTAAAATATACTCAATTCAAGTATATTTTTTTCCGTGCATCCGTTAAATTCAGTAGTTCGAGTGTCAAAATAAAACGTTTTTTCTGTTTAAACCAGGAGATTTGACAAAGATACTCTCCATCTTCATTTTTATCTTTTGAATGGAGACTACTACGAGTTTTAAAAGTCGCGAGCTATTGGAATGAGATTCCTCATATATTGAAAATCGATTATATATGTCTAAAAATGAATAATTAATGCAAAAAATTAATAGCTTATCATTCGTTTGCCCCGCAGACGCTTGAAATGATAAAAATAATCCACGGCCATCAACTTTTGAGCTACAGTGGTTTATTTTTTCAAAATTTTTGAAAAAAAGTGTGCAATAACAATTACGAATTAGTTTTTTGAAATTCGGCTCCTACTGTGCTAATTATGTTTTTTTTAAATAAAAAATTGTACCATTCATGTAAAATAATCCAAAAAATGTTTCTAAGAGAATCGAGAATATATTTTAAATATTTTAAGGATAACTCTTTTGCCTATTTTACATGAATGGGGCAAATTTTTATATTAAACAAAATGAAATTAGCTGCGTAGGAGTCGAATTTCAAAAAACTAATTCATAATTGTTATTGTCCACATTTTTTCAAAAATTTTGAAAAAAAAAAAACCTCTGTAGCTCACAAATTGGAGGCCCTGGACTATTTTTAACACCTTAAGCGTCTGCAAACGACCAATAAACAATTAATTTTTCTCCTCTAATTCGTTTTTAAACATATATGTCAAATATAATCGATCGTCAATGCATGAGAAATCTCACTCCAATCGCCCGTGACTTTTAAAACTCATAGTAGTCTCCCCTTAAGTGTCCTAGCAGGTGAATGTTCAATTTGAAAATAAACGCCACAACAATTCCCTCATTTACTCTTCCTCAAACAAACCTCAGCCGAGATCAGATCTCGTGGTTCAATGTAGTTAACACAACTACCAGTACCGCCACGTTACATCTGTCAACCCAAGCACAATGCACCAATGCACAGAAACAAATGTCTGGAACATATCACGTCAAGTCAAGCCAACTCAACAAATCCTAGAACACAGAAAAATTCAATTTCCGGAAAATGGATAAACATCCTCAATCAAGGTACACTCGGGTCTAGTGAGCACTCCAGAAAAAGTGAGTGGAATGTGGTTAAGCCAGTTGACGAAAACGTGAATATTTCAAATGTTCAGTGAATGAGAATTGAGTGAGCGTGGCGAGGGGGCGGGGGTGGAGGGGGGTTAAAGGGGAGGGCAAATTAATAGTCAAAGTGCAGTCGAGTGTGCACTCGACTGTGGAAGCATATGTCGACGACTCGGGTGAACTAAACTCTAGTACCACCGATTCGTGATAGTTTCAAGTTGTTACTTCATTCACTATCCCCCACCTCTCACTCAGTCCCTACCTTCTGCACTTTGCTTCCACAATAGTTTGAGAATTCTCGAAATGAGGGGGTGAGTGGGTGGAAGTGTGATCGATATAGACCAACTTATAATTTCCACTTAGCGGAATGTGATAGTGCAGTCTGATTATCTCTGGCTATACTACTTGGACACTCGGTTTTGTGGAAGAATCTTGGTAACTCTTTCTGCTCATGAAAGTCGTATTAGGGAGGTGGGAGGCTCAGGAGGCAGCGAAAATGCTGAATAATTGACGCAAGAGGCGGGAGAAATGGCTAAAGTTTCACAAACTAATTGTGAGTCTGTTTTTTTTTATTCTTGTTTTAATGAGATTCAAATTTCTTTGTTGGCAGTGATAATTAAAAATTCTGAAATTCATGGAGACACTTTTTACCTCAAACTGGGAGGATAAAAGTTTTATGGTTATACAGTGTTTTTGACGTTTTTTTTTCGAGGGGTTGGGGTGAGCAGGATGGGGGGGATAAACAACGAGTGTACGAGGTAAAAAAGCGTTTTAAAGGTTTTATAAGCAGTGAAAATAAAAGAGGAAAATCCCCGGAAGTTTTCGTCGAGATTAATACTTCAAACGAAAGTTTCTTGTTTAGATTTTTTTGTGGATGCCGGAGCATCTGAGAGTCTGATACATCTATGAAAAATGAAAGGATATTGTGTGGAATGAAAAGAGGCAAACAGACGGTTTTATGAGCAAGAAATGGGAATCCCTGTTGATGGGGGAGATGTGGTGTAGGTCGATGAAAAAAAAATTGACATGGTGGGCAATATTTTCAGGCCTGCTTGACGATTCCCCTGATTTAACACCGAAAGGGATTACAGATGCGTCATCGATAGATGTTGAATGGGGAGCGGGCAAGGGGATGCTAAATGGGCTGAATGTCTATCTTGCGGGAGTTTTCACCCTTAAAAAAATTTCATGGCCGGTTTTATCCCCTTGACTGTAACGATTGCAAGTCCCTCGTAAAAAAACCATTTTCATCTTCTGAAAGTTTTTTGCGTCAATTTAAATTACGACTTTTAAA